TTTTTTAACATTAATTGACAAAAGATTTTCTTGAAGCCAACCATGAAATGTCTGAAGATCTGCTTGTAACTGACTATTGATAGATTCAATATTGAAATAAATGAATAAAAAATGGGAGTAATCTGAACAAACTTCCAGGCATCAGGGAAAAAAAGAGTGCACAATACATAAATTAAGCAAATGATGAAACAATGGTAACACCTTTACCTTTCATTACTGCACMTCCTGTTCTACTTCTAAAACAATCTATTTCTACTATTTAACAATGTTTAATTTCTAGCTTTCCCCAACTTTTTTTTGTATTGTTGGCATACATTTTTAACTTTATTTAAATTATTTGTCTGGCCAAGCTGATGAGATTATAGGCCCTTGGCCTAGTGTGTAATTTTGTTTGTATTTAAGCCTGTAAAATAAAAAGTCAAATTAATTAACATAAGAATTTAATAGTTTTAGCGCTTCAATAACTTGTCCTATACGAAGGAAAAACCTTTTAGGAAACATATGCAGTAGCATGCAAGGAAAAATTAGTTTATTTTCTATTTTGTATCACCTAAAGAAGCTGTTCCCCTTCAAGATTTTACCCTAGTTTATAATAAGTCTTATTTAAACTAAAATAACATGAACCTTACTTCCATTTATGAAATCATGAGAGAGATTGTATTAATGTAGTTCCTCTCCTTGGTCAGGCGATGTGTCTCCAGCTGCTGACAGCTGTGGGCGCTCTGGCCGGGACAGCTTGCTCTCTTCTGGCCGAAGGCGTTGGCGCAGCGGCGACTGCCTGGATCCTGCCCTTCACGGCTGGCGGGTTTGTCTACATCGCCACAGTGACGGTGCTCCCGGAGCTGCTGGCAGGCCGCTCCAGTTTCGGTCAGTCTCTGATGGAGATTCTGGCCCTGCTGTTCGGAGTGGGCATGATGGTGCTGATCGCAGAGTACGAGTGAGGCGCTGCACAGCGGACAGAAACAATTACGGCACAGGATGAGGAGGGAGGAAGCCGAGAAACTGACAGGGAAAAGACAGTTTTAGGTTTTGTTTTTAAATTTGTTTACCTGTGTTTGTTTTCTTCTTTTTATGAAGCTGTATTTTGGAAAGATTTGTTTGTGTCTTAAGCGGTTTATGAGCATATCTTTGTTTTGTTTTAGTGTTTCTTCCTAAAAAAGTGTCAGTTTCTTCAACAGTCTCTTCAGTAAGGGCAACGAGAGCTGGAAAGTTGCACTAAGTAAAGAGGAAGAGGAGGACTTTATTAGTATAGTGGGTTAAACCTTTTTGAACAGTGGTTCCAAAGTTTTCTCACGACTTTCACTAAACAGAAAATTCACCTCAAGTGACAGCTCATYCCTCCAAAGACTTCTTATATAATTTTCCAGAAAAAACAGCAAGTTTTGTCCTTATCTAAGTGACCGATTTTCACTGTGTAGGGGTCACCTCAAGTGAGAAAACAAGATTTTCTTCCTCTAAAATAGGCCTTGGATGGGCCTTCTAGTTAAACTAGTTAAATTTAACTACTTAAATGAAAAGTGAATCGTGAACAATGGAGATTATTCTGTCCATTATCTGATTAAGAGGAAGAGAGGTTTCTGTCTTCTTTGAAGGCCCATCCGAGGCCTATTTTAGAGGCAGAAAATCTTGTTTTCTCACTTGAGGTGACCCCTACAACTGCTACACTTTTAGGTCAGAGTATAATTGACCTGTTCATATGTTTCAGATTTTTGTTTGTCGGCTATGAATGTCAGCGTTTTTTACATTCCACATCAAAGAAAAAGCTGTGGCTTCTGTAGAAGAATTCAAATAGTGCATTGTGTTCAACTTTAAAATGTTCAAGTTTCTTCCAGTTGTGCATAAAAATCTTTGATTTGGCAACTGGAAGAAACTTGAACATTTTAATGTTGTGCATAAAAATCAAAGATGTTCAAGTTTCTTCCAGTTGTGCATAAAAATCAAAGATTTTTTTTTACATTCCAACTAAAATTTTTTCCATTTTTTTCTCACGGTTTTCCTGAGATGAAAATAAAATCACTGCTGTTCTAAACGTCCCCGTTAAAKGTTTATTATTTTCTAAAAAAAAGAACTTCATTTGTGGTTTTAAGATGTGAGCTTGGTTATGTTATAAAAGATTTAGTTATGACTAATAAACATTAGATGAAGCAATGACTTTCCTTTTAACTCAATACTTTTATTTAAGCTTCTATAAAAGACTCAGATGAATCAATGGGTTTGAATCGTTACGCCTCTGGTTGTTTTGCTACAGTTGGAGTGAGGAATGCAAAAAAAAWTTTTTTTCAGAAAATGATTGAATACATGCTCATGTCTGCATTCTTGCATTTTTTTTTAACTGATTGCATTTTTCTAGAATTCTTTGTAGATTTCTACTGAAACTAGTCAGATCCAGTGCGACCAGCTATTTCTTTGTAAACCTAGCCTGGAGCCAGTGTTGTATAAACTACCACAAAGTGATACTTGAGTAAAAGTACAAGTATCTTACCAAAAAAATTACTTGGGTAAACGTTAATGTCTCCTTTAAGAATACAGTGGTTTGCAAAAGTATTCATACCCCTTGAACTTTTCCATATTTTGTCACATTACAACCACAAACA